ACTGTGATGGTGTCCCGAACAATTTGCATATTCCTCTGTTATTAGTATAAATGTTTAAAAACCAGTGCATTTTACCCTGGCCGGTGTGCCCTGTGGTTAGGGCATCAGCCCATGCATGGAAGGATTTCAGGTTTGATTCTCGCTCAAGGGCGTGTGCCTAGTTGCAGGTTTGATGCCCGGCTCATGTGGGAAGCAACCAGTCCATGTCTCTCACATCTTTCACATCGAAGTTTCTCTCTCTCTCGCCCTCTTTGCCCCTCTCTTCCACCCTTAAAAAAAATAATCAATGGAAAACATATCCTTGGGTGAGGATTACCAACAAAAAATAAAATAAAAACCAGTGCATTTTGAAAACAAGGAGGAGGGCAGTAAACAAGATAAAATATGCTTTTGAAAAAAGAAATTCACATACAGGTTCTGAGCACAAAGAAGAGCCACCAATCAGGTGACTGGCCATCGGAAAGGAGACACAGTGTTAGTTCAGCATTTGTAACTCAAATACCAGTAGGTGACTGTTCTTTTGATGCCTGGGACTGACTGCCCTGATCTTTCTCACGTGGATGTACAGACCCCTGTGTTCACACCAGCCTGCCCTTTAGGCTTGAGGAGGGAGGACATGGTGGAGACAAGAAGGGAGAGGTTTTCTTTTCTGCATAGCACTTTCTACTGCTGAAATTATCCTTGCTGTTCACTTCTCCAGGCCTATCTCCGCCAGCACCCCCTGCATGTATGTATAACTTTGTGAGGGCCCCACTTTATCCCTAATATTCCCCAAACCTAACACAGTGCCTGTGTGATGGGCAGATCTCTTTGACACCCCAAAACCCTTCCCTCTTTGTCAACCTCTAGCCGGGCAAAATCTCTTTCAGATCGTGTTGGACTGGCCTCCCTGCTGCCTCCACCTGCCCGGTTCTCCCACTGGGACGCCCATGATGGCCAGCTCAGCACCCATGCTGCCAGTGTCGTAGTGACCTGGGACAATGGCCTGAGAGATGGATGTGGCGGGGGGGGAGAGCTTTCTCTCCT